ACTATGTTTCTAATTTTGGCAATGTTTTTCAGATGGTAAAATGCTGCTGATGTTACTGATTTGATATGACTGTTAAAATTTAAGTCTGAGTCCATTATAACTCCTAGGTTTCTGACCTTGCCTACAGGTTCCAGGGAGAGAGACTGTAGATGACAGATGACGCTCTCTCTTTGTTTCTGAGGACCAAAGACAATCAATTCTGTTTTGTCTGCGTTTAGCTGAAGGAAGTTATTTTGCATCCAATCACTGATCTGTTGAGTACAGTGAAGGAGTGATTCCACTGGTCCATGTTCTCCTGCAGTAAGTGAGACATAAATTTGAGTGTCATCAGCGTAATTGTGGTAGGATACATTGTTGGAGCGTATTAACTGACCTAACGGCAGCATGTAAATATTGAACAGAAGAGGCCCCAGAATTGATCCCTGTGGCACTCCGCAGGTCAGAGCCATATGATCTGAGACACAGTTTCCTATCTGAACCAAGTATTTCCTGTCTTCTAGGTAAGACCTAAACCAACTTAGGGCAGTCCCAGTGACACCCACCCAGTGCTCTAGTCTCTGCAGGAGGATCTCGTGGTCGACTGTGTCGAACGCAGCACTCAGATCCAACATTACTAAAACTGTGACTTTTCCTGTGTCGGTGTTAAGTCGGATGTCATTTGTAACCTTCACTAGTGCAGTCTCAGTGCTGTGATTGGCTCTAAAGCCGGACTGGAGCGCATCAAAGGAACTATTAGTTACTAAGAATTCTGTAAGTTGTTGGTAAGCAACTTTTTCCAGAATTTTTCCCATAAACGGCAGATTTGAAATGGGGCGATAATTCTTAAGAACTGTGGCATCTAGACTCCTCTTTTTTAGGAGGGGTCTGATGACTGCCGTTTTCAGGGCCATTGGAAATGTTCCAGATGAGAGAGACATGTTCACTATTTGTGTGAGCAAAGGTAAAAGACTGCTCAAAACAGACTTAAAAAATTTAGTGGGTTGTACATCCAGGCTACATGTGGAGGAACTAAGGCTAGAGACAACATTTGGACAGTTTCATTATCTGTTGGTGCAAAGTGCGATAGCTCAAACAGCCTCACCGGCTGTTGTAATGTTATTTCTGCCTTGGAGGTGATGGCGTTTTTGATGCTCTGAACCTTGTCATTGAAAAATTGTGCAAACTCATTACATTTAGATTCTGAAGCAAATTCGAATGGCAGCTGAACAGGGGGGTTTGTTAATCCGTTAACTGTTGAAAACATAAGTCGTAGATTATTATTGCAGCCATCAATGGTTTTAGAAAAATAAATTTCTCTTGTTCTACGTAGCACCCTGTTAAACTTGCACAACTCATTTTTGAAGATCTCATGATCAACCTGGAGATTGGATTTTCGCCACTTCCGCTCGGCCCTACGGCACTCTCTCTTCTGTACCATGACTGAGTCCATTTTAGTCCAGGGGGCCTTTGGCTTATTTGTAATCATTTTAACCTTCACAGGAGCGATGATGTCCAGAACATTTATAACATTGGCGGTGACAGAGTTAAACAATTCGTCAACAGTAGAACACAATGTGTTCTCAAAGTTTATCATTCCCATGAATAGTTCGGTTGTGTTTTCATTTATGTGTCTGTGTCTGACAATTGCAGATTCAGATATATATGGTTGTTTACTATCAAAACACATGTCAAAAAATACACAAAAGTGATCTGACAGAGCCACGTCAACCACATTTACATTTAAAATATTAACCCCCTTTGTAACCAGCAGGTCTAGAGTGTGCCCTTTGCTGTGGGTGGGGCCACTCACGTGCTGAGTGAGACCAAATGTTTCAAGTACAGAACTCAGCTCTTTTGCATTTTTGTCATTGCCATTATCCACATGAATATTAAAATCACCTGTAATCACTAAACTATCAAAATCGGTGCAAACAACTGAAAGCAACTCAGTGAAATTATCAAAGAAATTGTGACAAGACTGCGGTGGCTTGTACAGGACAATGATAAGAATAGAAGGAGATTGTTTTTGTTCTATTTTAAAAGAAATATACTCAAATGATAGAAAATTTCCAAGGAGAATTCTATGAGAGATAATATGATCTCTAAATAATGCAGCAATGCCTCCCCCCCTTTTATTTTCTCGTATTTCAGATTCAAATTTGAAGTTTGGTGGCGTTGCTTCTATTAAAACCGCATTACCTGTACTCTGGTCAAGCCAAGTTTCAGTCAGAAACATAAAATCAAGATCATAAGAACGGATAAAATTATTAATTAAAAATGATTTTGTTGCACAGTGATCTGACATTAAGCATAGCAATTTTAAAATTAATATCAGTAACAGTGGGTTTAGTTAATTGATTTTTACAAGGAGCAGGAATTAGATTTGAATTATAACTGCTGTCCTTCTGTTATGATTTTGTTTTCCATTCAAATAAAAACATTTTTTGAAACTGATGCGAGGAACACACACAGTTTCTATTTGTCTAACATGTGAACTCTTTTGCTGTGTAAGTTCCGGATTCAGGACGGCATTGCTTCGTTGTTTAGAGCAGGAGGCAATAAACAAGCAATAACGACTGATTAAAATAAAAATTACTCAAATATCACCTTTAATATCATCACTCTACAATACTCTACTCTACTCTACTCTACCATACTCTACAAAACTCTACTCTACTCTACTCTACCTGGTTGTGTTTCCATTACAGCTGTGCTTTATTTAGTATCTGTCAGTTAGAACACTTTAGTACCAGCTTGGTCTGGATAGAACCAGGACCAAGAGGGACTGTGTGAACGAAAGGCCAATCCGATACCAATATCGTTTTACTGTCTTAACATTTTAGTAGAGTAGAGTAGAGTAGAGTAGAGTAGGGTAGGGTAGGGTAGGGTAGGGTAGGGTAGGGTAGGGTGGAGTAGGGTAGGGTAGGGAAGGGTAGGGTAGGGTAGGGTAGAGTAGGGTAGGGTAGGGTAGGGTAGGGTAGGGTAGAGTAGAGTAGGGTAGGGTAGGGTAGGGTACAGTATCAAACTTTTATCGTCCTAAACAATAGTGTTCTTTGGAGAGAAAATCCACTAAAAGTAAAAAAGCTCCAAATGCTGTGACGACTTCTTGTGACGGCGGCACGGTGGCTGAGTGGATAGCACTCTCGCCTCTCAGCAAGAAGGTCCTGGGTTCAAATCCCGGTTGGACCAGGGCCTTTCTGAGTGGAGTTTGCATGTTCTCCCCGTGTCTGCGTAGGTTTCCTCCGGGTGCTCCGGTTTCCCCTACCACTAAAAATATGTACAATAGGTCTGACATGTGCCTCCTGTACTGGCCCCACTCCCAAAAATAACAATTGTAAACCGCTTTGAGACTCCGATGTGCAGTGAAAAGGCGGTATATAAATAAAGATTACTTACTACTACTACTACTTCTTTGTTTATAAAATAAATCTGTCAAAGTCTTATTCAACCTTTTCATGTCAGTTATAGTTCGGTGACAACATTCCTCAAGATTCACAAAATAAAGTCATGGATAAATCACATCACAGGATCAGACACCGCATTAGCATTAACATTGGCATTAGCATTAGCATTAGCTGTGTGTACTGTTTCTAATCTGATAAGTCATGTAGTGTATTTTACAGATGCTAATGCTACTAATCTTTACAACCATTTATGGATTTAGCCGTGAACGCAGCCGTAAAGCAGGAAACCAACACAACCACTGCATGTTAGTGTTTTTGGACTCATTATCAGTCTGTAACTCATTAATAATAATAATGATAATAATACATTGGTTTCATATAGTACTTTGTTGAAACTCAAAAATGCTTCATATGTCATTATCCTCTCTCTCCAAACACGGTGGTGATAAACTACTACTGTAGCCACAGCTGCCCTGGGGCACACTGACAGAAGCGAGGCAACCAGTCTGTGCCATCAGCCCCTCCGACCACCACCAACCATCCACACACACACCAGACTCATTCTGATGTGGGGGAAGTGTCTTGCCTAAGGACACATTTGACACTTCACAGCCGCAACCGCAGCCGCCCCACAGTAGCACCTGCTGTTCCCAGAGGTCTCCCATCACAGCACTAACCAGGCCCTGCCCTGCTTAGCTTCAGAGGTCTGACAGGTACCGTCACATAAACTTGTATCTGTTAGAATGTTGGAGTACTTATGGATGTGTTTCTGTTTCCGGACACCTGACTTTCTCATAATGTGATATTTGTATGTATTTATTTACATGTATGAACATTTCTGGACAGCGGGGGTCTCTCTCCCTCTGCACCAACGGCTTCTGTGTGTTTGTTATTACTGCATTTTCTACATTCCATCTGTTTGATTCTCTGATCTGTTTCCATTCCTCGCTCTCCGAGACCTTTTCTGCCTTTTCAAACACAAACACACTGCTCTGAAGTGAGTTAATCTTTTAGTTTGGCGCCAGTAGAATGAGTGTAAGAGGAGTTCCTGTCACTCTACACCAGAGACCAGAGACCAGAGACCAGAGACCACAGACCAGAGACCAGAGACCAGAGACCAGAGACCACAGACCAGAGACCAGAGACCAGAGACCAGAGACCACAGACCAGAGACCAGAGACCAGAGACCAGAGACCAGAGACCAGAGACCACAGACCAGAGACCAGAGACCAGAGACCAGAGACCAGAGACCAGAGACCACAGACCAGAGACCACAGACCAGAGACCAGAGACCAGAGGAGGCAGTAAACCCATGGAGCCCTCAGCAGGTGTCAAAGCCCAGGTCCGAGCATCTTACATAACTTACGCATGACTATAAAAGGCATCGTGTGTTTGCGGACCCTGCATGTGTTGCTTCGGCTCTGCCTTCTCTCCGGCCGCTGCAGGACCCCCATCCCCTGCTCTAACATATACAAACACTGGGGCTGGCTGTCCCCGGGAGGCACAGGCCACACTGGCTTCACAGAAATGCTAGTGTTTTGGAGCCACAGCGGGGGTCGGAGCTAAAGGCTGCTCCACAGACCCCGCACCGGGACCGGGGGCGCGCATAAGTGGCTGTTAACGTGAATCAATGGTCCTGGATGTGGGGGAGAGGGGAGAGGGGAGAGGGGAGAGGGCTGTCCTGCTCTGTGCCTGCTGCAGATACAGATGTGGTGCAGGCCTCATCTCTGACACACTTTGTGGAAAGGCCAGTGCGCGTGTGTTTCTATTAATAAACGTCCAACAACAACAGGCAGGACGCGACCTACCGAGCAGCAGCAGGCGGTGCGTCTGCTTGTACTCCCGCTTGAGCTCCTTCAGCGCCCTGTCAATGTTCTTGCTGACTTTCTTCGCCTCCTTCTCGGCCTCCTTCTCCTCCACCAGTAATTTGTCCCAGTTTTTCTGCTTCTGAGTGCTGGTCTTTTGCAGCAGCTGTAAGCGGCGGCCGCGGTCCTTGCCCGTGCCCTTCCCGCTGCCTCCTCCTCCGCCTCCACCACCTCCTCCGCCTCCGTTCTGGATCAGGACACCGTCTGTGGCCGTGTCCGCTCGGTGGGGCTCCCCGGGGCGAGGCGCGGAGCTCTCCCCGGTCACTGCACTCTCCTCCGGGCGAGCGGCCGCAGCTGATGCGCGGCACGGCACCTCGTCTGGAGGCGGCTCTGAGTCCGAGGCGGCGTTGGAGATAGAGCCGCTGAGGTCCCCGAAGAGCCGCGGCCGTAGACTGTAGCACAGCCCCATGATCAAACACTGTGCGTCTGGAAACGGGATTTCTCATCAATTAAAAAGATCCGACAGTAGCGGCACTAACGCGGCATCCTCACGGCGTCGTCTGCTCTGAGCCCGAATCGTGAATGAATGACGCTCCGACATTTGCTACATGTCATGATGCGTGTCCCCGGTCCAAGTCAGCGATCACCTGACTGTAGTGGACGCTGTGGGTCCACCTTACCGTAAGTCACAGAAAGCAGCGCTGCTAGAGCTGCGCGCGCACTCTACGGTCTGTGCGTCTCAGGACGTCACGTTACTACGGTGCGGAGGACGCTGCTGCTGCTGCTGCTGCTGTTACTGCTGCTTCTCCTGCTGCTGATGGTGATGGTCGATCCTAGTGTCTGCACATGGTTCATGTCTCTGCAGATGAGGACCAGGAGCAGCTCTGTTTGTTTCTACACATCGAAGTCAAATTGAAGCATAGCAAAATTATGGGAGACCAGAGAGAGACCAGAAACTAGAGAGAGAAACCAGAGAGAGAGAGACCAGAGACTAGAGAGAGAAACCAGAGAGAGAGAGACCAGATACTAGAGAGAGAAACCAGAGAGAGAGAGACCAGATACTAGAGAGAGAAACCAGAGAGAGAGAGACCAGATACTAGAGAGAGAGACCAGAGAGAGATAGACCAGAGACTAGAGAGAGACCAGAGAGAGACCAGAAAGAGAGAGACCAGAGAGAGAGAGACCAGATACTAGAGAGAGAGACCAGAGAGAGAGAGACCAGAGAGAGAGAGATAGACCAGAGACTAGAGAGAGAGAGACCAGAGAGAGAGAGATAGACCAGAGACTAGAGAGAGACCAGAGAGAGAGACCAGAGAGAAAGAGACCGGAGACTAGAGAGAGAGACCAGAGGGAGGGAGACCAGGGAGAGACCAGAGACAGACCAGTTGCAGATCAAACTGAGAGACCAGGACACGTTGTATGTTCGGCCTAGACCTCCCCAGACCTGCAGGTACCAGGACGTCAGCATAAGACGCTTCAGGACCATGTGTCACACACACGGTCATTGCACCATCAAACACCCGCATCCTGCACCGGAGAACCAGCGGACTCCTGGCACCTGGTATGAAGCACCTGGTCAGAGGCAGAACCTGGTCTGAGGCAGTACCATGTCTTAGGCAGTACCTGGTCTGAAGCAGTACCTGGTCAGAGGCAATACCTGGTCTGAGGCAGTACCTGGTCAGAGGCAGTACCTGGTCAGAGGCAATACCTGGTCTGAGGCAATACCTGGTCTGAGGCAGTACCTGGTCAGAGGCAGTACCATGTCTGAGGCAATACCTGGTCTGAGGCAATACCTGGTCTGAGGCAGTACCTGGTCTGAGGCAGTACCATGTCTGAGGCAGTACCTGGTCTGAGGTAGTACCTGGTCTAGTGTTTACACAATGTTTTTTTTTTCTTTCATGAAATCAAAGTCTCACACTCTCACTCTCACACTCTCACACACTCACACTCTCACTCTCACACTCACTCACACTCTCACTCTCACTCTCACACACTCACACTCTCACACTCACTCTCTCACACTCTCACTCTCTCACACTCTCACACACTCACTCTCTCACACTCTCACACTCTCACACACTCACACTCTCACTCTCACACTCACTCACACTCTCACACACTCTCTCACACTCTCACACACTCACACTCTCACACACTCACGCTCTCACACACTCACTCTCTCACACTCTCACACACTCACTCTCTCACACACTCACACTCTCACACACTCACACTCTCACACACTCACACTCTCACACACTCTCACACTCACACTCTCACACACTCACACTCTCACTCTCTCACACACTCTCACACTCTCACACACTCACACACACTCACTCTCTCACACACTCACACTCTCACACTCACACTCTCACACACTCACACTCTCACACACTCACACTCTCACACACTCTCACTCTCTCACACTCTCACACACTCACACTCTCACTCTCTCACACACTCTCACACTCTCACACACTCACACACTCACACTCTCACACACTCACACTCTCACACTCTCACACACTCACACTCTCACACACTCACGCACTCACGCACTCACACTCTCACACTCTCACACACTCACACTCTCACACACTCACACACTCACACTCTCACACTCTCACACTCTCACACTCTCACACACTCACACACTCACACACTCACACACTCACACACTCTCACACACTCACACACTCACACACTCACACACTCACACACTCACACACTCTCACACTCTCACACTCTGGGAAATAACTTTGCATCACATTTCAATACCAGTGACAGAGACAGTATTGTTCTGAACACACAATGGCGCTGTTGGGACAGAAACTGCAGATTCTCAGTCACTGAAGGATCTTAAGGAGGTTTCTATACTTTTCTCAAATTAAAACATAACAAAAGGATGTGAGTCATTTGTGAGAAGAGAGACTAGAGGGAGAGAGAGGAGAGAGACCAGAGGGAGAGAGACCAGAGATTCCATGAAAGAGACCAGAGAGAGTTACTAGTGAGTAAGTAATGTTCATAAAGCACATTTTACAGACCAAGGTGACCCCAAGCACAAGAGAGAGAGACCAGGGACAGGGATATTAGAGGGAAAGAAACAAAAGAGAGACCAGAGAGACCAGCGAGAGAGAGAGACAAAGAGACCAAAGAGAGACCAGAGAGAAAGAAACAAAAGAGAGACCAGAGAGAGAGAGACAAAGAGACCAAAGAGAGACCAGAGAGAAAGAAACAAAAGAGAGACCAGAGAGAGAGAGACAAAGAGACCAAAGAGAGACCAGAGAGAAAGAAACAAAAGAGAGACCAGAGAGAGAGAGAGACAAAGAGACCAAAGAGAGACCAGAGAGACCAGCGAGAGAGAGAGAGACAAAGAGACCAGAGAGAGAGAAACAAAAGAGAGACCAGAAAGAGAGAGACAAAGAGACCAGAGAAAACAGAGAGAAAGAAACAAAAGAGAGACCAGCGAGAGAGAGACAAAGAGACCAAAGAGAGACCAGAGAGAGAGAGAGACAAAGAGACCAGAGAGAGAGAAACAAAAGAGAGACCAGAGAGAGAGACAAAGAGACCAGAGAGAGAGAAACAAAAGAGAGACCAGAGAGAGAGACAAAGAGACCAGAGAGAGAGAAACAAAAGAGAGACCAGAGAGAGAGACAAAGAGACCAAAGAGAGAGAGACAAAGAGACCAGAGAGACCAGCGAGAGAGAGAGAGACAAAGAGACCAGAGAGAGAGAAACAAAAGAGAGACCAGAAAGAGAGAGACAAAGAGACCAGAGAGAGAGAGAGAAAGAGACCAGAGAGACCAGTGAGAGAGAGAGAGAGAGACCAGAGAGATTTCCTTGGACATGTGAGTCCGGTGCTGCCTCCGGAGCTCACTTCCTCTTCTTCCGTTTTTATGTTGATGGATTCTTTGTGTAATTGAAGAATCATTAACCGTCTGTGCTGCAGTTAAACCATAAACACCATGAACCCACACCAGCGACAAAAGCACAAGAATTCAGAGTTTTTGATCACAGCTGCCCTTTAACTGTCACTCAGAGGATTTTACCAAGTTGTGGATTCACCAACAACAGATCAGAGAATCAAACTGTTAGTTCATAGGAGCGGGACGACCACAAGACCACCCCGGACTGAGGCTGTAGACCCAGGACTGAGGCTGTAGACCCAGGACTGAGGCTGTAGACCCAGGACTGAGGCTGTAGACCCAGGACTGAGGCTGCAGACCCAGGACTGAGGCTGTAGACCCAGGACTGAGGCTGTAGACCCAGGACTGAGGCTGTAGACCCAGGACTCAGACTGTATAACGAGGACTGAGGCTGTAGACCCAGGACTGAGGCTGTAGACCCAGGACTGAGGCTGTAGACCCAGGACTGAGGCTGTAGACCCAGGACTCAGACTGTATAACGAGGACTGAGGCTGTAGACCCAGGACTGAGGCTGTAGACCCAGGACTGAGGCTGTAGACCCAGGACTGAGGCTGTAGACCCAGGACTGAGGCTGTAGACCCAGGACTGAGGCTGTAGGTCCAGGACTGAGGCTGTAGGTCCAGGACTGAGGCTGTAGGTCCAGGACTGAGGCTGTAGGTCCAGGACTGAGGCTGTAGGTCCAGGACTGAGGCTGTAGGTCCAGGACTGAGGCTGTAGACCCAGGACTGAGGCTGTAGGTCCAGGACTGAGGCTGTAGACCCAGGACTGAGGCTGCAGGTCCAGGACTGAGGCTGTAGGTCCAGGACTGAGGCTGTAGACCCAGGACTGAGGTTGTAGACCCAGGAACGGCGAGGCTTCCAGGCAGACCGGGGGGTGCAGCCCACGAGACCAGTGCTAGCTTGATGGCGCTAGCTGGTTAGCATTGTCCATGTGTTTACAGTCGTTTGGTCGTTGCCGTTAGAATCTTCAGCACCATGAGCAGACTGTAACAAGACCAGCCACATCAAGACCTTTTCTACTCCACACATTTAAAGTTAATGTTTATGAATCTTCAGAGACCTCAGAACCATCATGAACCCGGCGGGCATCAGTTTGAACGACCCTAGGAAGCGGACCCCCATCACCGCGGCAACGGTCCCCGAGGCGCCTGGACACAACACACATTGACTCAAATGTATTGTTTTAAAGGAACAGTGTGTAAACATGTGGCCCAAAGTGGTACTGCAGCCTCTCCCACTCTCCCTGACTCAGGTTGCCAGATATGCAGACGAATCCAGCTGGGACCATAACAGCTGAATAGACAAGAGTTTAGTCAACAACAAATCTATAACCAACACCTTTTTCACAAAGATAGAAATCCTGGTTTTATTCCTTGTTTTGTCGTTAATGATTTGAGAATCATAACAAGACCTTTTTTAGTTCTGCGCCACATGGTACTTTACCAGTGAGATTAGCTCCACGCTGGTAAGTTCTGGCATTACAGACTTTCTGATTGGTGAAACGGTGGAGGGCGGGACATCGAAATGAAAACAATAACAAGATTTAGAGGCTGGAAAAGTAATTTAGAAATCTAAATATCTCTGAACGACTGTTATCAGTTAAAAAAGGATTGGAAAAGAGCTTTTTTTTTTTTTTTTTTGACAGATTATGGCCCTTTAATGACGCCAGATCGTAGCTAGTGTACATGTTCCTAAACCACAACACTGAGACACAGGGAGAACATGCAAACTCCACACAAGAAGGAATCAATGGAACAGTTTTAGTTTTTCACAACTTTGATCAGAATTAAGACATTTCTTTGGTTTAATCTTAAATAATTGCCCAAGACTGGTTAAAATAACTGAAATAGAGTGGCTAATGCTAATGCTATGGTAACTATGGTAACTAGCACCTGCTCCTAGCTAGCTTAACAACACATGGGAGTTAAAGATGGAACTACTCTCATCCTGAAATCAATAAACTCCATATAGAAACAGAAAAGTGACAGAGTTATGAAAATCTAAATTGTACATAAGCAGTAATTACACTTTAAAACCAACAGCGTCTTATTGACTGCTCTGGGAGTTTGAGTGTTGATAAATGTGACGATTACCCAAAGAAATCCATGTGTTGTGGAGATACGCGCCCAAAGCCGACAGCAGACCGAACAGGAGCCCGGCAGCGAGTGACGTCACACTGCCTGAAGAAGAAGAACGGAGACAGTACCGTTTATAGTTTTACTAATTAAAGCTGAGGAACGTAACTTCATCCTCCCATTTATTATGTAACGGTTTTGTCCCGACAGAAAGAGTAAAAGTAACATTTTGTGAAGAAATCAGGCTTTGTCTAAGTAGAAAACATGAGTAGAGTAGAGCACAGTAGAGTAGAGTAGAGTAGAGTAGAGTAGAGTAGAGTAGAGTAGAGTATGATAGAGTAGAGTAGAGTAGAGTAGAGTAGAGTAGAGCACAGTAGAGTAGAGTAGAGTAAGGTAGAGTAGAGTAGAGTAAGATAGAGTAGAGTAGAGTAAGATAGAGTAGAGTAGAGTAGAGTACGGCTGGTGGAAACGGGGCTTTTTTTTAATTTCTTGTTAATTGAAAGTTACACACCCCAGCTTTAAGTACTACGTAAATATACTTGAACGTACGTGCATATACGTGAATGTACGTATATATACGTGAGTGTACGTGCATATCAAGCCCCGGCGATCCAAGATGGCGCCCTGTTCAAATGAATGGTTGTGCTCAGTGGCGCTTTGTGACAGCATGGGGGCTGAAAGATTAGCGGAAGTTGCCTGAAACTCGCAAAGATCTATGGGAAACTCGCCTGTATTTGGGCATCGTCTGGTCCTCCCGGTTCTGCGCAGTGGATGGTCTCCCATAATGCGTTGCGCCAAACACGCGTGTGTGGGTCTCACACCGGGTCTCACGCACGTGCACAGAGGGGCTCGGCCGCGCTCTGACCAATCAGAGCAGTTCATCAGAGCGGGAGTTAGAGCGAGAGCCAGAGGAGCAGAGTTTGTAGCACTAAAGTGTGGATTTAAACAAAACCGAAGGATTTAAGAAGAAAAAAAGTTCAGGATGACAAGGGACACTAACATCCACACAAAATCCGATCTTTATTAAAGCTGTAGGTTCTCTGTCAGCTGAGGTTGAGCTGTTTTAATATGCACTGAGTTCTATGGGGAAAATTTCTGGGTAGCCCACGTGAATTTAGTCTGGTTCAGTCTGGTTCAGTCTGCAGTACCGCGAGAATCCCCTGAGCACATGAGTTATTCAGCTACAAGCTAGTAATACCCTATCCAGTTAATATAATAGATCCATGGTGCATATACGTAAGTGTACGTGCGTATACGTGAGTGTACGTGCATACCAGCTTTAGCGAAACCAACGAGTCCTCCCACCGTCACTAACGCAGCGTAGCACAGACCCACACGGTCCGCCATCGATCACCTGCAAACAATACAATCATAAGATCAATATGAGAGAGACCCTGGTGTAACACAGCCAGGAGAGACACTTACAGATATAATATATACAGTCTATGTTACAGACTCAGAGCAGTGGAAAAGTCTGTGTTTTGTTTGTCACTTCCTTGTTTTGAAAGTCCTCACGCACAAACATGTGGAGACAGCGCGCCCTCTGCTGGTCAGACAGAGACACGCCACCCTGAAATCCACCAAAACTAACCCAGTTACAAAGAGTTCTGTTCACGTTTATAGTGTCGGCACAGGCGTGTGAGAACCAGACCTGTTAGACCTAAGCAGTAGCTAAGCAGTACAGGGTCTGGTTAATGCTGTGATGAGAGACCTCTGAGAACACTAGATCCTAAGGCATGACACTTCCCCGACATAAGAGTGAATCTGGTGTGTGTGTGAATGGTTGGTGGTGGTGGGAGGGGCTGATGGCACAGACTGGTTGCCTCGCTTCTGTCAGTGTGCCCCAGGGCAGCTGCGGCTACAGTAGTTTATCACTGCTGTGTTTGGAGTGAAGGAATAATGCGTCTTTGAGTGTCCAAAAAGGTGTTATTTACTGCCCTTTTTTGTGTATATATCAAATCTTGTGTATATTCATTCATTTGGATGGGATTGTAGATATTGTACATGTTCTTAGTGGTAGAAGAAACTGGAGCACCAAGACACAGGGAGAACACGCAAACTCCACACGGAAAGGCCCAGGAGGTGGAACTGCTAAATAAATATAGAAGAAGAAGAAAATGAGATTTGCGTTGTCCATCCATCCATCCATTTTCTTCCGCTTTATCCGTTGCCGGGTCGCGGGGGCAGCAGTCTAAGCAGAGACGCCCAGACTTCCCTATCCACACACACTTCCTCCAGCTCATCCGGGGGGACCCCAAGGCGTTTCCAGGCCAGCTGAGAGACATAGTCCCTCCAGCGTGTCCTTGGTCTTCCGCGGGGCCTCCTCCCGGTGGGACGTGCCCGGAACACCTCCCCAGGGAGGCGTCCAGGAGGCATCCGGAACAGATGCCCGAGCCACCTCAACTGGTTCCTCTCGACGTGGAGAAGCAGCGGCTCTACTCCGAGCTCCTCCCGTGTGACTGAGCTCCTCACCCTATCTCTAAGGGAGCGCCCAACCACTCTGCGGAGGAAGCTCATTTCGACCGCTTGTATCCGCGATCTCGTTCTTTCGGTCATTACCCAAAGCTCATGACCATAGGTGAGGGAGGGAACGAAGATTGACCGGTAAATCGAGAGCTTTGCCTTTCGGCTCAGCTCCCTCTTTACCACAACGGTCCGATACAGCGACCGCATCACTGCGCACGCTGCACCGATCCGCCTGTCAATCTCACGCTCCATTCTTCCCTCACTCGTGAACAAGACCCCGAGATACTTGAACTCCTCCACTTGAGGAAGGACCTCTCCACCCACCAGAAGAGGGCAGGGCACCTTTTTCCGGTCGAGCACCATGGCCTCAGATTTGGAGGTGCTGATTCTCATCCCAGCCGCTTCACACTCGGCCGCAAACCGTCCCAGTGCATGCTGCAGGTCCTGGTTCGTTGGAGCCAACAGGACAACATCGTCCGCAAACAGCAGAGATGAAATCCTGTGGTCCCCGAACCGGACCCCCTCCGACCCCTGGCTGCGCCTAGATATTCTGTCCATAAATACAGTGAACAGAACCGGTGACAAAGGGCAGCCCTGTCGGAGGCCAACATTCACCGGGAACAGGTCTGACTTACTGCCGGCAATGCGAACACAGCTCTGGCTCTGGTCGTACAGGGACCGGACGGCCCTCAGCAGAGGACCCCCGACCCCGTACTCCCGGAGAACCCCCCAAAGGACACCCCGGGGAACACAGTCGAACGCCTTCTCCAAATCCACAAAGCACATGTGGACAGGTTGGGCGAACTCCCATGAACCCTCGAGTATCCAATGGAGAGTATAGAGCTGGTCCAGTGTTCCGCGACCGGGACGAAAACCACACTGCTCCTCCTGGATCCGAGATTCGACCATCGGCCGTAGCCTCCTCTCCAGTACCTTGGAGTAAACCTTACCAGGGAGGCTGAGGAGTGTGATCCCACGATAATTGGAACACACCCTCCGGTCCCCCTTCTTGTAGAGAGGGACCACCACCCCGGTCTGCCACTCCATTGGCACCGCCCCCGATCGCCACGCGATGTTGCAGAGACGTGTCAGCCAAGACAGTCCTACAACATCCAGAGACTTTAGATAATCAGGACGGATCTCATCCACACCCGGAGCCTTGCCACCATGGAGGCTACCAACCACCTTGGTGACCTCAGCCAGGGAGATGGATGTATCCGCCCCAACATCCTCAGCCTCTGCCTCTGAAACAGAGGACGTGACGGGGGGATTGAGGAGAACCTCAAAGTATTCCTTCCACCGCCCGACAATATCCCCCGTCGAGGTCAGCAGCTCTCCACCCGCACCGTACATGGTGTTGGCAAAGAACTGCTTCCCCCTCCTGAGGCGCCGGACGGTTTGCCAGAATTTCTTCGAGGCCGACCGATAGTCATGCTCCATGGACTCTCCGAACTCCTCCCAGTCCCGGGTTTTTGCCTCTGCAACGGCCCGGGCCGCGGCACGCTTGGCCTGCCGGTACTGGACAGCTGCCTCAGGAGTCCCCCAAACCATCATGGCTCGATAGGACTCCTTCTTCAGCCTGACAGCATCCCTTACTGCCGGTGTCCACCACCGGGTTCGGGGATTGCCGCCGGGACCAGCACCAGAGACCTTGCGACCACAGCTACGAGCCGCCGCATCGGCGATTGAGGCAGAGAACATGGTCCACTCGGACTCCATGTCCCCCTCCTCCACCGGGACCTGGGAGAAACTCTCCCAGAGGTGTGAGTTGAAAGTCCGTCTGATTTGCGTTGTCATGTTTGTGATTTCTATTCAACTTAAAATAATAATAAACATGCATAAGTTTAAGATTAAATTCATAGTTAAAACCTCTCGAATACAAGTGCCTCAGACTTTGTGATCCAAAGAAACGGTTTGAATTATATGATCAAACGATTCACGTTTCGGATTTTGGGTCATTTAGTCCAAGAATCTCTCCTGAAGAAATGAAACGCATGGAAATAAATAAAACTGTTTATTGTTCAGGTCATGGCACAAAACGCTGTCGTTGCCGTGGAGATAAACGTGATAAACGAGGCAGAGTCTGGAGGGTTTTAATTTGTGGCCGTTTTCTTCTTCCTCTTCCTCTTCGGTGGTTTGCTCTCGTCCTCCAGAATCACCTCCTCCATCAGACGCACTTTCTTTGTCGGCAGCAAATCTTTGGGGATTTCTGCAAAGAACAACAAAAAAGAGAAAAACATTCAGTTATCGTTCAGTGAAATAGTTTAAAGTCAGTCAGTAATGTTTATTGATGAAAGTGCCGGTCTCCTGAGAGGGTAGATATGTTCGTTAAGCCCAGAGTCGGAACAAATGTTAAAATGCTGTTTCTGTGATCGGAGAAAACATCTGGAAAGAGTCGCTGTAGATTTAAAAGACTGAAGAACAAACATGTGTTGATTGTGAAGTAAATGTATTATTGTGCGGCTCTTTCTTTTTTTTTTAAACTTAAATTTTATTGACATTTTTTATGATCAGAACAAGAACAGTAGACAAAATACAGTCAGCATTAAGAAGTTTCACTGTACATCAATAAATATTTTCATGCAGATGTAGCAAGAGCAGGGTTAGAGTATTATGCATACACATATATTTACCCATACTTACCTACAAGTCACAACACTGAGCCTGTACTAAAATATGTCAACCATTTACCCCATTTGGAGTAATAGATATTAGCCTGTGTCCTTAGCATAAAAGTCAGACGCTCCATTTGATGAATTTCGTCCACTAGATTTATCCAATCTTCCAATGAAGGCGGGTCTGTTTGAAGCCATTTCCTGGTGATTGCTTTTTTTGCACATGCAATAAAAATTTTGATTAAATATTTAATGTTATTTGGCCAGCCTGTGGGTATGTCTCCCAAGTAGAGTGTCATCATTTCTTGTTTAAGTTTGACACCAGTTATTTGGTCTATTTTTAATCTGACATCAGTCCAGAATGGTTTTATCCTGGCACAGGACCAAAATATATGAGTGTGATGGGCCTCCCTATCCCCACAACCTCTCCAGCATAAAGAACTCTTCAGGTTCCATGTCGTTTGTTGTTTGGGGGTTATAAAAAACCGTGTCAAGTTTTTCCAACTAAATTCGCGCCAGTCGGCAGAGCTGGTGGTCGACAAGGCTGTCTCACATACATTATCCCATTGCTCATTTGTAATGTCCAAACCAATTTCCTTTTCCCATCTCTTCTTAATATAAATTGTTGATTCTCCCCTGCTAGTTGCTAATCCCTGATATAGTTTAGAAATAATAGATGTACATTTTTTGGTATATGATTGTGAAATCAGCTTAATTAATTGATTTGAGCCCAGTTCTGGTTTTGATAGTTTTGTTGATAAATATTGTCTTACTTGTAGGTATCTAAAAAAATCATTTTTCTCTAATTTATACTTTCTTTGTAACATTTGAAAAGTTGGCAACAAGTTCTTATCAAGTATGTTACAATAGGAAGTAAGTCCTTGTCGTGTCCAATCTTTGAATCTAGAGTCAAATTGATTAGGTGTGAAGTCTGTGTCGTAAGCGACCCAACGAAGCGATCGTGCAAGATCTGATAACTTAAGTTCTTTTAAAGTTTGAAACCATGTAGTCAGTGTAAAAATTGCCAGTGGCGACAGAATGTCTTGGTGAGTTGTCATTAATTTTGAGTCACCAATAAACGCCTGTATAGGAATATTTCCACATATTTTCTCTATCTCTTTCCACCTCGCCTCACAGGTACCATCACACCACAATACCAACGGCCTGAGTTGAGATGCTATATAGTAATCTTTCAGATTTGGCAATGATAACCCCCCCTTTTCTTTGTGGAGCATCAATGTACTAAATTTGACACGGGGTTTCTTTCCTCTCCAAATAAATCGGGATATTTGTTTTTCCCATTCACGGAATTGAGAAGTTGGAATTTTAACTGGTAGTGACATAAATAAGTATAGCAAGCTAGGCAAGACCGACATTTTAATTACTTCAATTCTTGAGTGGAAACTAAGTATGTTTGTTGTCCAGTGCGTGAGATCCCCTTTAATTTTTTTGTTCACATCGTCAAAGTTTCTCTTGAAAAGATCATCAGGGGAATGTGTCAGCCACACACCCAAATACCTAATCGCCCTCCTGGACCAATCAGTTTTGATTTTTTCTTTTAAAACTTCGGCTGGCTTATAGTTATAACACATAATCTGTGTCTTGCTTATGTTTAGTCTATATCCAGAATAAGCTCCAAATGTGTGAAGTGTTTGTAGGAGTGCCTGAATGGATTGGTTTGGGTTAGATAGATACAGCAGGATGTCATCAGCATACAGGGCCACTTTATGCTCTCTGGAATTCACTGTTATGCCATTAATATTTGGGTTTTCTCTAATTGCCTGTGCTAATGGTTCGATATAGAGTGCAAATAGGGTTGGCGATAAGGGACAGCCTTGACGTGTTGATCTTTCTAATTCAATCCGATCTGTTAAACGGCCATTCACTTTAATTCTTGCAGTGGGGGCCAAATACAATGTCTTTATGCTGTTAATGGAGGTGTCAGTAAAGCCAAATCTTTCTAAAACTAGGAATAAGTATTGCCAATCTACACAATCAAAAGCCTTTTCTGCGTCCAAACTTACCAAGGCAGCTTTCTGATTATTGCTTTTAATAGTGTTTATTAAGTGGAGAGAACGTCTAATATTGTCCTGCGTTTGTCGCCCAGCAATAAACCCTGTTTGATCCTCGTCTATTAAATCTGGAATAAAGGCGTTTAGCCTGTTAGATATTATGGATGCATATAATTTATAGTCTTGATTTAATATAGAGATTGGTCTATAAGAGCTACACAGAGTTTTATCTTTACCCTCTTTGGGTATGACAGTAATAAATGCTTCAGTCCAAGATGGTGGCGTTGACATACTTTCCAGAGTCCAATTCAAGCTCTTCAAAAGTATTGGTGTTAGTTCTGATTCAAAAATTAAATTTGGTGTCATGATCTGGGGGCATGTAGACTGAGAGAAGAGTAGCAAATTTGCCCTCTATTTTACATTGTAAAAGTACAAACCTTCCCTCACAATCTTTTATCTGTTTAATGCACTCAAAATGCACAGTGTTATGTATTAACACTGCGACTCCACGTTTGTTCCCGGCTTCATGAGAGCTATGAAAAACATTGTTAAATCCAAACTTCTTTAATTTTTCGTGTTCTTTTTGGGATAGGTGAGTTTCTTGAAGAAACATAATTTGCATTCTTTCCTTTTTTATCCATGTCATTACTCGGCTCCTTTTGACAGGGTTGTTGAGACCATTTACATTCCAAGAAGCTGCTCTAATGTTGATACCAGTCATAGTAAATGAATACAAAAAATCTGCAGACTGTAAACACAAAACAGAACAAGCGGAACAGTAAACAAAACAAAATCACTTCCACTTCCAGGGTTTTCATTGTCCCTGTCTTCCCATCCATTGTCCGTCCTTCGAATACAAATGAGGAGAAAAGCCCTACTCCAGGTAGTAGGGGCTCCTTCTTTGGCAGTACAAGTCCCTTCTTGAGCACACGTAAAAAACAAAAAGGAATTTGAAGAGTGTCATCTCTTCCCGAACCCGACCAGAATAATGGTTAAAGTAGGTCATCCAAAAACGAAAACTATTCTTTGTAAATCTATACACACACAGGAGGAATATATTCTAAATTATTCATTTTTATGTGTATATTAAACTTCAAACAAGATGCGAACCACAAAAAACAGATGATAAACATAAACTTTGATGTCAATTGCCTGTTCTTACCTTTAGAAACAGTTTAACAAGGCCGAAGCGCACTTACTTGCTTCGTCAGCATTATTTACCGAAACATTTTAGCTAGTCATTCTGAAACACACACGCAGTCTTTCCCGTACTCGCTCAGTATGAGTGTTCCCAGCCTTGTTCCAATGCGTATCACGAGTGAGTACCTGCTCCCAGTCCGTATCCGAAGAGCGGGGGATCTCCACAGAAAGGCCCCTCTTCCTCGCGTCCTCCGCCGCCTCTTTCGCCGTCTTGTACACGCGTGGGCCGTCCTCCCAATGGACTCTCAGTTTTGCAGGATACGGTGTCTGAAAGCGTATCTTTGCTTCTTTAAGAGACTTCTTAATGTCCTTGTATTCCTTCATTTTATTGTTTATCTCCGTGGGCATGTCATTGGCAAACGTAGTAACTTTACCGTCAAAGATGATCTTCTTCGCCCAGGCTGCACGTAACACTTTGTCCTTCATATCAAACCTTTGAAAGTTGACTAGAATGGATCTAGCGGCATGTTTGTCCTGTGGCTTTGGCCCCAGAGAGCGATGAGCGCGTTGGATCTGCAAATCCTCCTCCTCACGCAGGGAAAGTTCCCTCTTCAGAAAAGTGTCCATAAACGATGACATAGAGCTACCTTCCGCATTCTCACTGATGTTATATACACGGAGGTTATTTCGTCTGGATCGGCCCTCCAAATCAGTCATTTTTGTCATCAGGGTTTTCTGTTGTTTGACCGAGTGTAGGAGCGCGTCTCTTAGATCCTTGTTCGCAGATTCGAGTTCACCAATACGCTGTTCAGATTCCGCCAGACGCGTGCCTTGGTTTCGAATATCCGCAGTAATATTCAGAAGCTTCTGGTTAATCTCCGTTTTGAAATGCGCCAGTTCTTGTTTTATTTCGTCCTTCATTTCTGTCATTTTATTGGACAAGCACATTATAGCTTTAGCCGTGGTTAGCTCCTCCGTAGCTTCAGCTAGCTCTAGCTGGTTTTCCATGTTAGCCTCGTTATCCTCCGTGTCCTCCGCGGTCACCTCCCTCGTGTCAGAGTCATCCTTGGTCGCCTGGAATCTAGTTACACGCCTCATATTTGAATAAAATAATTAAAGCAAGTTTTTTCTCGAGTTGCGTGAACTTTTTTACAACTTCTGGTCGGGAGCGGAGAAGAGTCACTCCGCCATCTTGAAAAGCTCGCCGGAAGTCCCCTATTGTGCGGCTCTTTCATGTATAGTAAAGGGAAAGCTCACAGACTAGCTTTAGCTTCTGCCCATTCCATTTTCAGACCTTATTTGGACTTTTTCCCCAATATTATGCAGAACTTTATGGAGATATCTATAAAGTGATCTGGCCTCGCGTCGGTCACAACGACTCGATTGTGTATCTGCTATGGTTGTGTGTCCGTGTTTTGTTCTTTCAATGTCTGATATGTTCTGATTGTCTCTGGATGCGACACGTTTGTCTTTCTATGTGTGAAGTAACAATGACTTTATAAACCATGTCCTGACTTTGTTCTGTCTGAAAAAACGAACCTGAAGGAACCTGAATAAACTTCCAGAAGCTCTGGTGCGCCATAATCCAGTCTCTGTGTGGTTCATTTTCCACAACTTTGCAGATCAATTGTGTAGCAAAGGGGAGAGTCCCAGTGAATCTGCCTGATGAAGGTCTGAAGGACCGAAACTTTGACATTTTCTAATTAGGATTTTGTTGTTGTTGTAAAGACATTAATGACCATTATTTTCATTCATTCTTCCAAGTGCCTGAAAGTGTTTTTGAATGTGTTTTTGAACTGTAGAACTCAACTCCTCTCGCTCAGTAATCGTTTGTGTGACAGTTTATAAGGTTTAAAACAATCTGTGATGCTGCTGTCTATGATGTGATATTGACTTTGTAAATCCAGATATGAACCAATCAGAGGCCTTCACTCACCGGGGAAACTGCAGCTTGCCTTGCCTTAGCCACCCGCCTTAGCCACCCGCCTTAGCCACCCGCCTTAGCCACCCGCCTTAGCCACCCGCCTTAGCCACCCGCCTTAGCCACCCGCCTTAGCCACCCGCCTTAGCCACCCGCCTTAGCCACCCGCCTTAGCCACCCGCCTTAGCCACCCGCCTTAGCCACCCGCCTTAGCCACCCGTCTGAGCCACCCGTCTTAGCCACCCGCCTTAGCCACCCGTCTGAGCCACCCGTCTTAGCCACCCGTCTTAGCCACCCGTCTTAGCCACCCGTCTTAGCCACCCGTCTTAGCCACCCGCCTTACAATACAATACAATACAATACAATGTATTCTTGTATAGCCCTAGGTCACAACAGAAGTCATCTCAGACTTAACAAAACCATTGAAATCACCAACACAGGTCAGAGAATCAACAGTTAAAACACATGAAGAATATAAAGCACACACAGAAGAATATGTCCATACATGTTGTAGAATGTTAAAGTGTCCTGATCATCACCTTAGCATCTTAGCAACCCGTCCTAGCAACCCGTCTTAGCAACCCGTCTTAGCAACCCGTCTTAGCAACCCGTCTTAGCAACCCGTCTTAGCAACCCGTCTTAGCAACCCGTCTTGGCAACCGTCTTGGCAACCGTCTTGGCAACCCGTCTTGGCAACCCGTCTTGGCAACCGTCTTAGCAACACATCTGCCCCGGTTAAGGCTCAAAGCTAACGCCGTCAGAACAGATGTCCATATAAGGAAATTGTCCCCAGCTTATGTTTTCATCTCAAGGGGCTTATCCTCAGAATAAATAAATAAATACAATAAATGTTCAAATCAGCTTCTTCTGCATTAATGCTAACACTGTGGTGATGTCACACTCTGTCAGGCCCCTCATACACAGTCTATGGTTCTGTACCATGAACCGTCAATACAAACACACATTTAAAAAGTCAAACTGATTTGAACACTGCACTTATCCGTTCATGTATTGTCTTGTTCCTTTATAGTTTTCCATGTCCCCCATGTCTCTCCTCTCTCCAGATCACCCAGGTGCATGAACTCACGGCTGGAGGTCGTGGCTGGATCCGCAGCCTCCTCCTGCTTCTTCACAGACGCAGGCTTCCACACAGACAGACAGGTGAGTCGAGCCAATGTGTTCACTGCCCCCAGGAGAGTGGGACGTTCCAGCGCCTGACGGAAACAGACCAGAGGATTCTTTTATCTGTGAGGTGCAGGAGCAGCACAAACCTGCACCAAAACTACTCTGACGAAATTATTAAGACATGTTTGATTTTGGATGAATACAGGTTTGAACAGATTTTACCCTGACATGTCTCACCATTTACCACAACAACACACTAACATTAAGTTGAGAGAGACAGAGAGACAGAGAGACAGAGAGACAGAAAGACAGAAAGACAGAAAGACAGAAAGACAGAAAGACAGAGAGACAGAAAGACAGAAAGACAGAAAGACAGAAAGACAGAGAGACAGAGACAGAGAGACAGAGAGACAGAGAGACAGAAAGACAGAGAGACAGAGAGACAGAGAGACAGAGAGACAGAGAGACAGAAAGACAGAAAGACAGAGAGACAGAAAGACAGACAGAGAGACAGAAAGACAGAAAGACAGAAAGACAGAGAGACAGAGAGACAGAGAGACAGAGAGACAGAGAGACAGAGAGACAGAGAGACAGAGAGAGAGAGACAGAGACAGAGAGATATAATGCAGTTGGAGCTCTCTGTCGCCAAAATTAATGGAGCAAAAACTGAAAATATCTCTTGCTGGTCCAAACTATTAAATACAATTAGACTGGATTAGACCTGGGTTTATAAATCATTATGGTGTATGTGAATATGTGTTACATAACTATATGTACTGTGCGTAGTCATTGCTTTATCTTACATATTGTCGTTATGTATACTGCGGAGGAAATCAGCACTTTGTATCTACCCAACTGTGTGTTTTGCTTCGCATTTGTGAATATTAGTTCATTGCTGGTAGTCTTTGTATATAAACCTGGACAGGGTTATTGTTTATTGTATTTATGTTTTGTTTTTTTTATTCTTCAATTACAAATTTTGTTTTAGATGTCTTGAACCTTTTATTTTATTTTTATTATTATTATTATTATTTTTTTACAATATTTTTTTTTAAAATGTTTTATTTACTATTCTGTTATTATAATCATTATTAATTTATTTATTTATCAATTTATTATTGTGAGCTTCTCTGCCCATCACAAGGGAAAGGGGATATGGGGATAAAAAGTCAAGTGTGATGCTAATCAGTGCAAAATGTGAATACTGTGTCAAATACATTGTCATACTAGAATAAAAAAATTGATCACAAAAAAGAAAGAGAGAGAGACAGAGAGAGAGAGAGAGATAGAGAGATGGACAACAAAAGAAAGAGACGGAGAGACAGACAGAGAGAAAAGGATAGAGGGAGAGAGACAAAGAGAAAGAGACAAAGGGAGAGATAAACTGACAAAGAGAAATAGAGAGAGAGAAGGAGGAAGAGAGAGACAGAGAGAGAAAGAGAGAGACAGAGAGAGAAAGAGAGAGAGGGCGAGAGAAAGAGCGAGCGAGGGAGAGAAGGGAGAGAGAGAGAGAAAGGGAGAAGGGGAGAGCGATGGACAAAGAAAGAGAGACTAATGGTGCTTTCAGACCACCAACGCTGAATCGCTGAAGCCCCGCTCAACAGACGCGCATTCTCTAGTTTTCAGGACTTCACACCAGAACGTCCTGACGCGAGCCGGAAGTACCGGAAGTAGCCGGCCGGCTCTAATGCTAACAGAGCTATGCTAGCGGCTTCTTGTGTACAGATCTTCTCCAATATGCAGCTTTGCAGCGTGTCTTTTCTCACAGACATTCCACGGGCTTTATATAACAGTAGTATGTGTTCACGGAGGTGCGCCATACGTGTTTTCATATTATTAAACGGTATTTCCGCATCGGCGAACACACTCGAAGCAGTTGCATAAGGTCACGAGAGCAAGACAACGCATATTTTCACAAGCACAGAGTCTCCCATTGTCAGCCCTGGTTTGAGTTCTGGTGAAGCCTGGTGTGGGTCCTGTTTTGGCTGTTTACAGTATTTTCAGTCTGCTCGCTCAGTCCGCTAATGTCCCTGTGACCACTTTGCTGCTCTCTGATTGGTCGCTGCACGAACGTCCCAAGGAAAGGATGAGCAGAATCCATCTCCTGTGGGTGTTGATTTTTCACTCCTGCTCCTCCCTTTCACTTTCCCGCCAAGTCCGTGCGTGTCTACTGAACAGTCCGTGCGTGTCTACTGAACAGTCCGTGTGTGTCTACTGAACAGTCCGTGTGTGTCTACTGAACAGTCCGTGTGTGTCTACTGAACAGTCTGTGTGTGTCTACTGAACAGTCCGTGTGTGTCTACTGAACAGTCCGTGTGTGTCTACTGAACAGTCCGTGTGTGTCTACTGAACAGTCTGTGTGTGTCTACTGAACAGTCCGTGTGTGTCTACTGAACAGTCCGTGTGTGTCTACTGAACAGTCTGTGTGTGTCTACTGAACAGTCCGTGTGTGTCTACTGAACAGTCTGTGCGTGTCTACTGAACAGTCCGTCCGTGCCGAGAGGTCTGTGCGTTGTGACGGTCGAACGCTCGTCACCATAGACTTTGCATTGAAACCCAACGGTCTGAACGCGCCATGAGAGACAGACAGAGAGAGAGAAAAGGATAGAGAGAGAGGGTGAAAGAGAGGGAGAGAGTTTGACAAAGAAAATGAGGGACAAAGAGAAAGAGACAGAGATAGACAGACGGACAGAGAGAGAGACAGACACACACTCTAACCCTGCACCTCTCTCTCATTCCCCTCTCTGCTCTATACCTCTCTCTCTCTGCTCTACACCTTTCTCTCTGCTCTACACCTCTCTCTCTGCTCTACACCTCTCTCTCTCTGCTCTACACCTCTCTCTCTGCTCTACACCTCTCTCTCTGCTCTACACCTCTCTCTCTGCTCTACCTCTCTCCCTGCCTGCATATCTCTCTGCTCTACACCTCTGCCTGCATCTCTCTCTCTGCTCTACACCTCTCTCTCTCTGCTCTACACCTCTCTCTCCCTGCCCGCATCTCTCTCTCTGCTCTACACCGCTCTCTCTGCCTGCATCTCTCTCTGCTCTACACCTCTCTCCCTGCCCGCATCTCTCTGCTCTACACCTCTCTCTGCTCTACACCGCTCTCCCTGCCTGCATCTCTCTCTGCTCTACACCTCTCTCTCTGCTCTGCATCTCTCTCTGCTCTACACCTCTCTCTCTGCCTGCATCTCTCTCTCTGCCTGCATCTCTCTCTGCTCTACACCTCTCTCTCTGCTCTACACCTCTCACTCTGCTCTACACCTCTCACTCTGCTCTACACCTCTCACTCTGCTCTACACCTCTCACTCTGCTCTACACCTCTCACTCTGCTCTACACCTCTCACTCTGCTCTACACCTCTCTGCTCTACACCTCTCTCTGCTCTACACCTCTCTCTGCTCTACACCTCTCTCTGCTCTACACCTCTCCCTGCCTGCATCTCTCTCTCTCTGTTCTACACCTCTCTCTGCTCTACACCTCTCTCCCTGCCTGCATCTCTCTCTGTTCTACACCTCTCTCTGCTCTACACCTCTCTCCCTGCCTGCCTGCATCTCTCTCTCTCTCTCTGCTCTACACCTCTCTCTCTGCTCTACACTTCTCTCTCTCTCTCTGCTCTACACCTCTCTCTCTCTGCTCTACACCTCTCTCTGCTCTACACCTCTCTCTGCTCTACACCTCTCTCTGCCTGCATCTCTCTCTCTGCTCTACACCTCTCTCTCTCTCTGCTCTACACCTCTCTCTGCCTGCATCTCTCTCTCTGCTCTACACCTCTCTCTCTGCTCTACACCTCTCTCTCCCTGCCTGCATATCTCTCTGCTCTACACCTCTCTCTCTGCTCTACACCTCTCTCTCTCTGCTCTACACCTCTCTCTCCCTGCCCGCATCTCTCTCTCTGCTCTACACCTCTCTCTCTCTCTCTCTCTGCTCTACACCTCTCTCTCTCTCTGCTCTACACCTCTCTCTCTCTGCTCTACACCTCTCTCTCTCTCTCTGCTCTACACCTCTCTCTCTCTGCTCTACACCTCTCTCTCTCTCTGCTCTACACCTCTCTCTCTGCTCTACACCTCTCTCTCTCTCTCTGCTCTACACCTCTCTCTCTCTCTGCTCTACACCTCTCTCTCTCTGCTCTACACCTCTCTCTCACTCCTGCTGCTGTGGCGGTGAAACCTGACACACCTCTTTCAGCTGCAGTTTCCACATTTTGATGAATCCGTCGTTTGAGGCCGTCACCAAAACCATGTGGTCGTCCCAACTGAAGCTGTCCACGGCTTTGACCCTGAAACACCAGGAAGCATGAAACACCAGGTGACACCAGGAAACATGAAACACCAGGAAACATCCGGAAGAGAGAGAGTCAAAACAGTGAAGTTAATATGCCTGAAAACACAGACTACCTCTCTCTGGCCTCTCCCTCGCTCTCTCTCTCTGGCCTCTCTCTCTCTCTGGCCTCTCTCTCTCTGGCCTCTCTCTCTCTCTCTCTGGCCTCTCTCTCTCTCTCTGGCCTCTCCCTCGCTCTCTCTCTCTGGCCTCTCTCTCTCTCTGGCCTCTCTCTCTGGCCTCTCTCTCTCTGGTCTCTCTCTCTCTCTCTCTGGCCTCTCTCTCCCTCTGGCCTTTCTCTCTCTCTGGCCTCTCTCTCTCTCTGGCCTCTCTCTCTCTCTGGCCTTTCTCTCTCTCTGGCCTTTCTCTCTCTCTGGCCTTTCTCTCTCTCTGGCCTTTCTCTCTCTCTGGCCTCTCTCTCTCTCTGGCCTCTCCCTCTCTCTCTGGCCTCTCTCTCTCTCTGGCCTCTCTCTCTCTCTGGCCTCTCTCTCTCTCTGGCCTCTCTCTCTCTCTGGCCTCTCTCTCTCTCTCTGGCCTTTCTCTCTCTCTGGCCTTTCTCTCTCTCTGGCCTCTCTCTCTCTCTGGCCTCTCCCGCTCTCTCTGGCCTCTCTCTCTCTCTGGCCTCTCTCTCTCTCTGGCCTCTCTCTCTCTCTCTGGCCTCTCTCTCTCTCTCTGGCCTCTCTCTCTCTCTCTGGCCTCTCTCTCTCTCTCTGGCCTCTCTCTCTCTCTCTGGCCTCTCTCTCTCTCTCTGGCCTCTCTCTCTCTCTCTGGCCTCTCTCTCTCTCTCTGGCCTCTCTCTCTCTCTGGCCTCTCTCTCTCTCTCTGGCCTCTCCCTCGCTCTCTCTCTCTGGCCTCTCTCTCTCTGGCCTCTCTCTCCCTCTGGCCTCTCTCTCTCTCTGGCCTCTCTCTCTCTCTGGCCTCTCCCTCTCTCTCTGGCCTCTCCCTCTCTCTCTGGCCTCTCCCTCTCTCTCTGGCCTCTCTCTCTCTGGCCTCTCTCTCTCTCTGGCCTCTCTCTCTCTCTGGCCTCTCTCTCTCTCTGGCCTCTCTCTCTCTCTCTCTGGCCTCTCTCTCTCTCTCTGGCCTCTCTCTCTCTCTCTGGCCTCTCCCTCTCTCTGGCCTCTCCCTCTCTCTCTGGCCTCTCCCTCTCTCTCTCTGGCCTCTCCCTCTCTCTCTGGCCTCTCCCTCTCTCTGGCCTCTCCCTCTCTCTGGCCTCTCTCTCTCTCTCTCTCTCTCTCTCTCCTCTCTCTGGCCTCTCCCTCTCTCTCTGGCCTCTCCCTCTCTCTCTGGCCTCTCCCTCTCTCTGGCCTCTCCCTCTCTCTCTGGCCTCTCCCTCTCTCTGGCCTCTCTCTCTCTCTGGCCTCTCTCTCTCTCGCTCTCTCTCTCTCTCTGGCCTCTCCCTCTCTCTGGCCTCTCTGGCCTCTCTCTCTCTCTCGCTCTCTCTCTCTCTCGCTCTCTCTCTCTCTCTGGCCTCTCTCTGGTCTCTCTCTCTCTCTGGCCTCTCCCTCTCTCTGGCCTCTCCCTCTCTCTGGCCTCTCCCTCTCTCTGGCCTCTCCCTCTCTCTCTGGTCTCTCCCTCTCTCTGGCCTCTCCCTCTCTCTGGCCTCTCCCTCTCTCTGGTCTCTCCCTCTCTCTGGTCTCTCCCTCTCTCTGGCCTCTCCCTCTCTCTGGCCTCCCTCTCTCTCTGGCCTCCCTCTCTCTCTCTGGCCTCCCTCTCTCTCTGGCCTCTCCCTGGCCTCTCCCTCTCTCTCTGGCCTCCCTCTCTCTCTGGCCTCCCTCTCTCTCTGGCCTCTCCCTCTCTCTCTGGCCTCTCCCTCTCTCTCTGGCCTCTCTCTCTCTCTCTCTCTCTCTCTGGCCTCTCTCTCTCTCTGGCCTCTCCCTCTCTCTGGCCTCTCTCTGGTCTCTCTCTCTCTCTGGCCTCTCCCTCTCTCTGGCCTCTCTCTCTCTCTCTCTGGCCTCTCCCTCTCTCTGGCCTCTCTCTCTCTCTCTCTCTCTCTGGCCTCTCCCTCTCTGGCCTCTCCCTCTCCCTCTGGCCTCTCTCTCTCCCTCTGGCCTCTCCCTCTCCCTCTGGACTCCCCCTCTCTCTGGCCTCTCCCTCTCTCTGGCCTCTCCCTCTCTCTGGCCTCTCCCTCTCTCTGGCCTCTCCCTCTCTCTGGCCTCTCCCTCTCTCTGGCCTCTCCCTCTCTCTGGCCTCTCCCTCTCTCTGGCCTCTCCCTCTCTCTGGCCTCTCCCTCTCTCTCTGGCCTCTCCCTCTCTCTCTGGCCTCTCCCTCTCTCTCTGGCCTCTCCCTCTCTTTCTGGCCTCTCCCTCTCTCTCTGGCCTCTCCCTCTCTCTGGCCTCTCCCTCTCTCTGGCCTCTCCCTCTCTCTGGCCTCTCCCTCTCTCAAGCCTCTCCCTCTCTCAAGCCTCTCCCTCTCTCTGGCCTCTCCCTCTCTCTGGCCTCTCCCTCTCTCTGGCCTCTCTCTCTCTCTGGCCTCTCTCTCTCTCTGGCCTCTCTCTCTCTCTCTGACCTCTCTCTCTCTCTCTGACCTCTCTCTCTCTCTGGCCTCTCTCTCTCTCTCTCTCTCTCTCTCTGGCCTCTCGCTGGCCTCTCTCTCTCTCTCTCTCTCTCTTTGGCCTCTCTCCCCCTCTGGCCTCTCTTTCTCCCTCTCTAGTATCTCTCCCTCTAGTCCCTCTCCCTCTCTAGTCCCTCTCCCTCTCTAGTCCCTCTCCCTCTCTAGTCCCTCTCCCTCTCTAGTCCCTCTCCCTCTCTAGTCCCTCTCCCTCTCTAGTCCCTCTCCCTCTCTAGTCTCTCTCCCTCTCTAGTCTCTCTCCCTCTCTAGTCTCTCTCCCTCTCTAGTCTCTCTCCCTCTCTAGTCTCTCTCCCTCTCTAGTCTCTCTCCCTCTCTAGTCTCTCTCCCTCTCTAGTCTCTCTCCCTCTAGTCTCTCTCCCTCTAGTCTCTCTCCCTCTAGTCTCTCTCCCTCTAGTCTCTCTCCCTCTAGTCTCTCTCCCTCTAGTCTCTCTCCCTCTAGTCTCTCTCCCTCTCTAGTCCCTCTCCCTCTCTAGTCTCTCTCTCTGGCCTCTCTCTCCCTCTGGCCTCTCTCTCCCTCTGGCCTCTCTCTCTGGTCTCTCTCTCTGGTCTCTCTCTCTGGTCTCTCTCTCTCTCTGGCCTCTCTCTGGCCTCTCTCTCTCTCTGGCCTCTCTCTCTCTCTGGCCTCTCCCTCTCTCTGGCCTCTCCCTCTCTCTGGCCTCTCTCTCTCTCTCTCTGGCCTCTCCCTCTCTCTCTCTGGCCTCTCTCTCTCTCTCTCTGGCCTCTCCCTCTCTCTCTGGCCTCTCTCTCTCTCTGGCCTCTCTCTCTCTGGCCTCTCTCTCTGGCCTCTCTCTCTCTCTGGCCTCTCTCTCTCTGGCCTCTCTCTCTCTCTGGCCTCTCTCTCTCTCTCTCTGGCCTCTCCCTCTCTCTCTCTGGGCCTCTCTCTGGTCTCTCTCTCTGGCCTCTCCCTCTCTCTGGCCTCTCTCTCTCTCTGGCCTCTCCCTCTCTCTCTGGCCTCTCTCTCTCTGGCCTCTCTCTCTCTGGCCTCTCTCTCTCTGGCCTCTCTCTCTCTGGCCTCTCTCTCTCTGGCCTCTCTCTCTCTCTGGCCTCTCCCTCTCTCTCTGGCCTCTCCCTCTCTCTCTGGCCTCTCTCTCTCTGGCCTCTCTCTCTCTCTCTCTCTCTCTCTGGCCTCTCTCTCTCTGGCCTCTCTCTCTCTGGCCTCTCTCTCTCTCTCTCTCTCTGGCCTCTCCCTCTCTCTCTGGCCTCTCTCTGGTCTCTCTCTCTGGCCTCTCCCTCTCTCTGGCCTCTCTCTCTCTCTGGCCTCTCCCTCTCTCTCTGGCCTCTCTCTCTCTCTGGCCTCTCTCTCTCTCTGGCCTCTCTCTCTCTCTCTGGCCTCTCCCTCTCTCTGGCCTCTCCCTCTCTCTGGCCTCTCCCTCTCTCTGGCCTCTCCCTCTCTCTGGCCTCTCCCTCTCTCTGGCCTCTCCCTCTCTCTGGCCTCTCCCTCTCTCTGGCCTCTCCCTCTCTCTGGCCTCTCCCTCTCTCTGGCCTCTCCCTCTCTCTCTGGCCTCTCTCTCTCTCTGGCCTCTCCCTCTCTCTCTGGCCTCTCCCTCTCTCTGGCCTCTCCCTCTCTCTGGCCTCTCTCTCTCTCTGGCCTCTCTCTCTCTCTGGCCTCTCTCTCTCTCTCTGGCCTCTCTCTCTCTCTCTGGCCTCTCTCTCTCTCTCTGGCCTCTCTGGCCTCTCTCTCTCTCTGGCCTCTCTCTCTCTCTCTGGCCTCTCTCTCTCTCTGGCCTCTCTCTCTCTCTGGCCTCTCTCTCTCTCTCTGGCCTCTCTCTCTCTCTGGCCTCTCTCTCTCTCTCTCTGGCCTCTCTCTCTCTCTCTCTGGCCTCTCTCTCTTTGGCCTCTCTCTCCCTCTGGCCTCTCTTTCTCCCTCTCCGGCCTCTCCCCCTCTCTCCCTCTAGTCTCTCTCCCTCTAGTCCCTCTCCCTCTAGTCCCTCTCCCTCTCTAGTCCCTCTCCCTCTCTAGTCTCTCTCCCTCTCTAGTCTCTCTCCCTCTCTAGTCTCTCTCCCTCTCTAGTCTCTCTCCCTCTAGTCTCTCTCCCTCTCTAGTCTCTCTCCCTCTAGTCTCTCTCCCTCTCTAGTCTCTCCCTCTCTAGTCTCTCTCCCTCTAGTCTCTCTCCCTCTAGTCTCTCTCCCTCTCTAGTCTCTCTCCCTCTCTAGTCTCTCTCCATCTAGTCTCTCTCCCTCTAGTCTCTCTCCCTCTAGTCTCTCTCCCTCTAGTCTCTCTCTAGTCCCTCTCCCTCTCTAGTCCCTCTCCCTCTCTAGTCCCTCTCCCTCTCTAGTCCCTCTCCCTCTCTAGTCTCTCTCCCTCTCTAGTCTCTCTCCCTCTCTAGTCTCTCTCCCTCTCTAGTCTCTCTCCCTCTCTAGTCTCTCTCCCTCTCTAGTCTCTCTCCCTCTCTAGTCTCTCTCCCTCTCTAGTCTCTCTCCCTCTCTAGTCTCTCTCCCTCTCTAGTCTCTCTCCCTCTCTAGTCTCTCTCCCTCTCTAGTCTCTCCCTCTCTAGTCTCTCTCCCTCTCTAGTCTCTCTCCCTCTCTAGTCTCTCTCCCTCTCTAGTCTCTCTCCCTCTCTAGTCTCTCTCCCTCTCTAGTCTCTCCCCCTCTCTAGTCTCTCTCCCTCTCTAGTCTCTCTCCCTCTCTAGTCTCTCTCCCTCTGCCCCTGCCTCAGAAAAGAATTTCGATCAATAAAAAATAGAACCCATGGCCATAATATCTAAATGTGGGACTCACCTGGTTTCGTGAGCTTTGAAGTCACAAATCCACGTCTGTTTCTGGATATCGCACAGACGCACAGTTTCATCGTCCCCGGCTACGACCAGGACTAAATTCTGCAACAAGGAAACACTGAATACATTTGTTTAAAGCTGAGGTACCTGATTTACAACCCACAGAAAGGACCATGTAGTAAACCAGGGTCTCGCTCTCAAAACGGTTCTGTCATTTCACATTCATGTCAGTTTGGCCTTTGTCACATCTGGACCACCCTCTCTCAGCCAATCAGCTCTCAGAGTCAAATAGCCTCTCTCTCTCTCTCTCTGGCCTCTCTTGCTCTCACTGGAGTCTCTCCATCTCTCTGGTCTCTCTCACTCGCACTCTGGCCTCTCTCCCCTCTCTCTCTCTCTCTCTGGTCTCTGGCCTCTCTCTCTCTCTCTCTCTCTGGCCTCTCTCTCGCTCTCTCTCTGGCCTCTCTCTCGCTCTCTGGCCGCTCTCTGGCCTCTCTCTCTCTCTCTGGCCTCTCTCTCTCTATCTGGCCTCTCTCTTCTCTATCTGGCCTCTCTCTATCTCTCTCTCTATCTGGCCTCTCTCGCTCTCTGGCCTCTCTCCCCTCTCTCTCTCTGGTCTCTGGCCTCTCTCTCTCTCTCTGGCCTCTCTCTCTGGCCTCTCTCTCTCTCTCTCTGGCCTCTCTCGCTCTCTCTCTCTGGCCTCTCTCTCTCTCTGGCCTCTCTCTCTCTCTGGCCTCTCTCTCTCTCTGGCCTCTCTCTATCTGGCCTCTCTCTCTGGCCTCTCCCTCGCTCTCTCTCTGGCCTCTCTCTCTATCTGGCCTCTCTCTCGCTCTCTGGCCTCTCTCTCGCTCTCTCTCTGGCCTCTCTCTCTATCTGGCCTCTCTCTCTCTGGCCTCTCTCTCTCTATCTGGCCTCTCTCTCTCTGGCCTCTCTCCACAAACTTACTTTAGCTCATCTAAGGGAATCCCAAAGCTCTGGCTCGCTCTCTCGCTCTCTGGCCTCTCTCTCGCTCTCTGGCCTCTCTCTCGCTCTCTCTCTCTCTGGCCTCTCTCTCTCTCTCTCTGGCCTCTCTCTCTCTCTGGCATCTCTCTCTCTATCTGGCCTCTCTCTCTATCTGGCCTCTCTCTATCTGGCCTCTCTCTCTCTGGCCTCTCTCCACAAACTTACTTCAGCTCATCTAAGGGAATCCCAAAGCTCTGGCTCGCTCTCTCTCTCTCTCTCTGGCTCTCTCTCTCTCTCTCTGGCTCTCTCTCTCTCTGGCCAGCCTCTCTCTCTCCCCCTCTCTCTGGCTCTCTCTCTCTGGCTCTCTCTCTCTGGCCGGCCTCTCTCTCTGGCTCTCTCTCCACACACTTCCTCTAACTCATCTAAGGGAATCCCAAAGCGTTCCTGGACCAGCAGTCCCCCAGCGTGTCCTGGTGTGTCCCCTGGTCTTCTCCAGACCATGAGCCATTGGTGAAAAAATATAATCAAAAGATAAATAAATAGTTGAAGTAGAAACAGGACCACAGAACACACTTATGCCACAAGTTTAAGATATCAGAGTAAAAGCTAAAAACAGAGAACCGTACGTCTACAAAGCTAATGGAGGAGATTCTTTTGGGGTTGTTGATGGTCCCGCTCACTGAGGCCGTCGCCGTGTCGTAAATATCCACTTTGTCGTTTATAACCACCACGTATCGGTCGCCCTCTGGAGACCACCGCACCATTTCTGCATCTGAGGAAACACACGGACAGTTAGGTACAGTTTACAGTCACACACACAGCCGTTTACAGTCACACACACAGCCGTTTACAGTCACACACAGCTGTTTACAGTCACACCCAGTCGCTTAGTCACACACAGCCGTTTACAGTCACACACAGAGCCGTTTACAGTCACACACACAGCCGTTTACACACACACAGCCGTTTAGTCACACACAGCCGTTTACAGTCACACACAGCCGTTTACAGTCACACACACAGCCGTTTACAGTCACACACACAGCCGTTTACAGTCACACACACAGCCGTTTACAGTCACACACAGCCGTTTACAGTCACACATAGCCGTTTACAGTCACACACACAGCCGTTTACAGTCACACACACAGCTGTTCAGTCACACACGGCCGTTTACAGTCACACACAGCCGTTTACAGTCACACACAGCCGTTTAAAGTCACACACACAGCCGTTTACAGTCACACACAGCCGTTTACAGTCACACACAGCTGTTTACAGTCACACACACAGCTGTTTACAGTCACACACACAGCTGTTTACAGTCACACACAGCCGTTTACAGTCACACACACAGCCGTTTACAGTCACACACACAGCCGTTTACAGTCACACACACAGCCGTTTACAGTCACACACACAGCCGTTTACGGTCACACAACAGCCGTTTACGGTCACACACACAGCCGTTTACAGTCACACACAGCCGTTTACAGTCACACACAGCAGTTTACAGTCACACACAGCCGTTTACAGTCACACACACAGCCGTTTACAGTCACACACACAGCCGTTTACAGTCACACACACAGCCGTTTACAGTCACACACACAGCCGTTTACGGTCACACACACAGCCGTTTACGGTCACACACACAGCCGTTTACAGTCACACACAGCCGTTTACAGTCACACACAGCAGTTTACAGTCACACACAGCCGTTTACAGTCACACACACAGCCGTTTACAGTCACACACAGCCGTTTAGTCACACACAGAGCCGTTTACAGTCACACACACAGCCGTTTAGTCACACACACAGCCGTTTACAGTCACACACACAGCTGTTTACAGTCACACACACAGCCGTTTAGTCACACACACAGCTGTTTACAGTCACACACACAGCCGTTTACAGTCACACACACAGCCGTTTACAGTCACACACACAGCCGTTTAGTCACACACAGCCGTTTACAGTCACACACAGCCGTTTAGTCACACACAGAGCCGTTTACAGTCACACACACAGCCGTTTAGTCACACACACAGCCGTTTACAGTCACACACACAGCCGTTTACAGTCACACACACAGCCGTTTACAGTCACACACACAGCCGTTTAGTCACACACAGCCGTTTACAGTCACACACAGCCGTTTAGTCACACACAGAGCCGTTTACAGTCACACACACAGCCGTTTAGTCACACACACAGCTGTTTACAGTCACACACACAGCCGTTTACAGTCACACACACAGCCGTTTACAGTCACACACACAGCCGTTTACAGTCACACACAGAGCCGTTTACAGTCACACACAGAGCCGTTTACAGTCACACACAGCCGTTTAGTCACACACAGCCGTTTAGTCACACACACAGCCGTTTACAGTCACACACAGCCGTTTACAGTCACACACACAGCTGTTCAGTCACACACGGCCGTTTACAGTCACACACAGCTGTTTACAGTCACACACACAGCTGTTCAGTCACACACAGCTGTTTACAGTCACACACAGCTGTTCAGTCACACACAGCCGTTTACAGTCACACACACAGCTGTTCAGTCACACACAGCTGTTTACAGTCACACACAGCTGTTTACAGACACACACAGCTGTCGCACAACTCACTTTGTTTGATGTTTTTGATGAAGGCCGAGCGTCCAGTGATTAGATTCCACGTTCTACACAAACAGATCCATAATTTTAACAAACAGACGTGAATGAAATCAGAAAGAAGTTACGCTAAGTCTATGAGTGGTCAGAGAGAAGGTCCTGGGGTCGGATCCAGGTCTGAACAGGGTCTTTCTGAGGAGAAAGACCCATAATAAGAAGCTAGTACAAAATCTCTAGCTTTAGCATAACAAAGAAGCAAGTATGAAACAGTGTTTCGACAGTTCACTCTCCTTCCAATCCCACATCAATAACATCACTCGGTCTGCCTACTTCCACCTGCGCAATATCTCTCGTCTCCGCCCCTCTCTCACCCCCACACCACCGCCATCCTCGTCCACAGCCTCGTCACCTCAAGGATTGACTACTGCAACTCACTTCTCTTCGGCCTCCCCAACAAATCCCTCCAGAAACTGCAGCTCCTCCAAAACTCTGCAGCTCGTATCATCACCCGGACCCCCACAGCTCACCACATCACCCCCGTACTACAACAACTCCACTGGCTTCCTGTCAAACAGCGCATCAATTTCAAAATACTCCTCACCACCTTCAAAGCACTTCACAACCTGGCCCCTCCGTACTTATCTGACCTCCTCCACCCTCACATTCCTGCCCGCACACTCCGCTCCTCCTCCACCCTCACACTCTCCGTCCCCCCAGCCAGACTCATCACTGTGGGACACAGAGCCTTCAGCCACTCTGCCCCCCAGCTCTGGAACTCTCTCCCCCCTGACCTCCGTACCATTGACTCTCTTCCACTCTTCAAATCCCGACTCAAAACCCATCTGTTCAGACTGTCCTACCCCACCTAACACACACGCGCGCACACACACACACACACCTAACACATACGCACACACACACCCTCCTAACTCACACACACACACACACCATCCCATATTGCACCTGACTACTGTTTTATTCTGTTTATCCTGTTTTTAAATGTTTTTATTATGCCTGTACAGTGTCCTTGGGTGTTTTGAAAGGCGCTTTTAAATAAAATGTATTATTATTATTATTATAGTGTCTCTCGCCTGAGTGTCTTGTCTGTGCCGACTGAAAGAGCGAGTTTCCCCGATGGATGAACAGAGAGCGACGAAACACTGCCTCTGAAAACAAGACAAAACCATGAGTCAGGGGTCCAAGGGTGTCAGGGGTCCAAGGGAGTCAGGGGTCCAAGGGTGTCAGGGGTCCAAGGGTGTCAGGGGTCCAAGGGTGTCAGGGGTCCAAGGGTGTCAGGGGTCCAAGGGTGTCAGGGGTCCAAGGGTGTCAGGGGTCCAAGGGTGTCAGGATCCAAGGGTGTCAGGATCCAAGGGTGTCAGGGGTCCAAGGGTGTCAGTATCCAAAGGTGTCAGTATCTAAAGGTGTCAGTGTCCAAAGGTGTCAGGGTCCAAGGGTGTCAGGGGTCCAAGGGTGTCAGGGGTCCAAGGGTGTCAGGATCCAAGGGTGTCAGTATCCAAAGGTGTCAGTATCCAAAGGTGTCAGTATCCAAAGGTGTCAGGATCCAAGGGTGTCAGGATCCAAAGGTGTCAGGGGTCCAAGGGTGTCAGGGTCCAAGGGTGTCAGGATCCAAGGGCGTCAGGGGTCCAAGGGTGTCAGGGGTCCAAGGGTGTCAGGGGTCCAAGGGTATCAGGATCCAAGGGTGTCAGGATCCAAGGGTGTCAGGGGTCCAAGGGTGTCAGGGGTCCAAGGGCGTCAGGATCCAAGGGCGTCAGGATCCAAGGGTGTCAGGGGTCCAAGGGTGTCAGGATCCAAGGGCGTCAGGATCCAAGGGCGTCAGGATCCAAGGGCGTCAGGATCCAAGGGCGTCAGGATCCAAGGGCGTCAGGATCCAAGGGCGTCAGGATCCAAGGGCGTCAGGATCCAAGGGCGTCAGGGGTCCAAGGGCGTCAGGGTCCAAGGGCGTCAGGGGTCCAAGGGTGTCAGGGTCCAAGGGTGTCAGGATCCAAGGGCGTCAGGGGTCCAAGGGCGTCAGGGGTCCAAGGGGGTCAGGGGTCAGGGGTCCAAGGGGGTCAGGGTCCAAGGGTGTCAGGGGTCCAAGGGTGTCAGGGGTCCAAGGGTGTCAGGGGTCCAAGGGGGTCAGGGGTCCAAGGGGGTCAGGGGTCCAAGGGGGTCAGGGGTCCAAGGGGTCAGGGTCAGGGGGTCAAGGGGGTCGTCAGGGGTCCAAGGGTGTCAGGGGTCCAAGGGTGTCAGGGGTCCAAGGGTGTCAGGGTCCAAGGGTGTCAGGATCCAAGGGTGTCAGGATCCAAGGGCGTCAGGGGTCCAAGGGCGTCAGGGGTCCAAGGGCGTCAGGGGTCCAAGGGTGTCAGGGGTCCAAGGGTGTCAGGGGTCCAAGGGTGTCAGGGGTCCAAGGGTGTCAGGGGTCCAAGGGTGTCAGGGTCCAAGGGTGTCAGGGGTCCAAGGGTGTCAGGGGTCCAAGGGTGTCAGGGGTCCAAGGGTGTCAGGATCCAAGAGTCCGGATCCAGGTCCAGGGGTCTAGGGGTCAGGATCCAGGTCCAGGGGTCTAGGGGTCAGGATCCAGGTCCAGGGGTCTAGGGGTCAGGATCCAGGTCCAGGGGTCTAAGGGTCAGGATCCAGGTCCAGGGGTCTAGGGGTCAGGATCCAGGTCCAGGTGTCTAGGGCTCAGGGTCCAGGTCCAGGGGTCTAGGGCTCAGGGTCCAGGTCCAGGGGTCTAGAGTCCAGTGTTGGTGGTTGTGGTAGAGCTTGACTGACTTGTGGGCCTTGATGGACTTGAGACACTCCCACTTCTTGGTGCTCCACACACAGATGAGGCCGTCGTCCGCTCCGCTCAGCAGGTGGGACGAACCGTAGAACTGCAGACATGTGATGGTGCCTGGACCATCAAGCCACAAGTACCATGTGTGAGAAGGACGTTAGCATCAGCAGCTAGCAGGCATAAGGAGGGTCTCAGGACACTGTTAACATGAACCGTAGAACTGCAGACATGTGATGGTGCAGAACATACTCTGTCCATGACACCATTCTAAGCTTTAAACTGTACTTCTACTGCTTAATGTCACTGTCAAATAAAGAAATAAATATAATTAAAATGTGGGGGCAGAGAGACAGAAAAGGCAGAGGCAGATTTGGGCCTGAACTTCCTGATATTCAGGCCCAAATCGATAGAAATAATAACAACTGAATATCTGCTTTTCATCAGAGAAACATAAATGTCACATGGACACAGACTAGAAGAGACTTCATGGGGGATGTAGAGACTAGTTCTTGGTTCTGGTGGGACAAAAAAGGATCTCTTCATCTGAAAAGCCTTCTGGGTCTCCGTGCTCAGTCCTTGTCAAAGCAGAAGCTCTTTGGGTCATTATGAACATGAGATTTTTCCAAAGATTGTATACATTCTACAATGAGAGAAAAAACAAACTAAAACCAAGAATTTTAGTGCTACATAATGCCTGACTGAGAGGGTTTAGGCTGAAGTCGAGACTTATCCTGACAAATGTCTGTTACAGCTGTGACACTGTGTCCAAAGAGACACATTCTAGTTTCATACCAACGATGGAAACATGGAGCACAGAGAAAAATCCAATCCAGGTTTTCTATACTTCTCCATAATGTTAAATTGTACTTTTTGTAAAAATGTTTTAATAGTTCTAGAGCCTTTAATTTGTTTAGGGTGACAATTGTTTACTGTTTTATTTGTTTATTTCTGTACTTTTAATGTTATGTTACGTCTGTATTTTTCTGTGCACACTGGTGACTTTTGCAAATGTATTCCAATGTTTTTTTACTGCAAATGGCAAATAATCTGAATCTGCTCCATAGCTCTACACCTCCTCTTAGCGTCACTTCTTTCTCTGGGTTTTTGTAAACAGATCTGTTTCTTCTTCTACATTCTCTAGTTTGAAACATGTCTATAATCTGAAGCCGTCAGAGAGATTAGAGCTGAACTCAGACCGTTGTGATGCAGCAGCGCCCCGTGCTCCACTCTCTTCTTCAGGTCGTACAGTTGGATGGTTTCGTCTTTGCTCCCGGTGACGACGAAGCGCTCACTGGCGGCGACGGCGGAGATGGAGGCTGTGTGCGAGTGGTGCGTGAAGTCTGCCTCCGCCACCCACTCCTGCAAACAAACAGGACCAACACGCTGCTTCAGGCTCTGGGACTCTGTCTCAGGACTGTGGTCTCTGGTTTATCGCAGGAGTGATGTGTTTGAATAATAACTCACAATAAATGAAATCCTCTCAGAAGCAGCTGTGCGTTTTAAGACTGTAAAACCATCAAACACACTTTAACACTTTTCTAACCAGTCATGAGCTTTGGGTAATGACCAAAAAGAGGAGATTGCGGATAGAAGCGGTCCACACGAGTTTCCTCCAGAGTGGAGCTCCCTCAGAGAGATAAGGTGAGGAGCTTGAAGTAGAGGCGCTGCTCCTCCATGTGGAACAGAGCCAGTTGAGGAGACTCGGAAATCTGTTTGGGAAGGCTCCCAGAGGAAGACCCAGGACACACAGGGACTGTGTCTCTCTCTGGCCTGGGAACGCCTCAGGATTCCCGCAGATGAGCTGGAGGAAGTGTGTGTGGAGAGGGAAGTCTAAACGTCACCAAACGATAGACCAGAGAGAGAGAGACCAGAGAGAGAGAGACCAGAGAGAGAGAGACCAGAGAGTAATACTCCTGTAGTAGTAACATTTATAAAAGTCAAGTACGAGTCACTATTTGACTTTTAGGGAAACTCAGACTGCTGCACCAGCCACCCGGCCTTGGATAAAGCGGAAGAAAATAAATGCATATTAGACAAGAGTTCAGCAGGGCATCTCGTTTGGATCTTATATGGATCTTATATTTGCTGTTTCAGCTCTGATTCAGATTTACCTTTCAGTGATGATCACAAACCTATTTCATCTGTCATCAGTAACATCTGCCTGATGGTAAACAGATCGATTTGAGCTAAATTTGCAAATGAGGCGTAACTACAAAGTAGTAAACAGAATCTAAACAACACCAGAGCTATGAGCACAGCTCACGCACTTTAAGAACATATGAACATTGTTTTACCTTCTCATCAGTCTTCACTCTGTAGCCACACACCACTTGTTCATAGCTCCCTGCTATGAGCTCCAGCACAGCCTCAGCCATGCTAACGCTGCTAACGCTGCTAACTCTGCTAACGCTGCTAACGCTGCTAACACTGCTAACACTAACTCTGCTAACTCCAAAATAAAGCGAATTTAAACCACGACCTTGAATTTGTTAAGAGGGGGAACTAAGACAAAACGCCGACATTTGAAAAAACTACAATATAACTTCATACATGTGTTTAAAAGTGCATACAGAGAGCTCAGCGTTAGCACCTAAACAAAAACATGTGGCAGCGACGCATGCGCACTGGTGTTCCGTCTCAGAGGGGGCGGGTGCTCTTCAAAATAAAAGTTACGATTGTGCGTTACTTGTTAAGTACATTTTAAGTTATCATAGTTTTTGCTGCATATGATTACAAACACACGTGTATAAACTATTTATTATTTTCAAAAAAGAATTAGTAAAATGAATACTAATAATTATAGTCTCAAACTGATCTTCCATCCAGCTGCTGTCAAAATGTACAACGAACAATAAGGACTAACAAACACTGCTGACCTGACCTCACATGTCGTGCATCTGTGCAATGGTTTGAAATACTGTCAGAATGTACAAAGAACCACATGAGTCACTGTCACTGTGTCCCAGATGTAAACAACTGTATATGTTCAATAATACACTGTAGGCCATACTCGCTTCTTTATCACGCTAAAGACAGAGATTGTGTTTGATCATCAGTTATTGTTCATTCATCTTGTGCTGGGTGTATCTAGTAACTGCTCATGCAACACTGACATTTCCCCATGGCGATTAAAGGCTCTGTTTGTATCTTTAATACTGCTAAAACAGGTGAATATGAACTGAAACACGGTAAAAACAGTTCACAGGTAAATGCTCACTGCTGCGTGTATAATGGATAATGGATAATGTGTGTATACAGAGAGACCAGGGCGGTGCGTCTGCTTCTCTGGCCTCTGATTGGCTGCTGACTTTGACCGACGCTGCTGCAGATTCAGTGTCAGTGCAGAGTTTAGGAGGATGTGAGAGAAGTCTGTGTGCACCACGTATCATCCTCTTTATCCACACAAACAGGAGCAGCCATGTCCCGGAGGTAACTTTACTACTTTTACCACAAGCGCGTCTCTCTCTTTCATTCTCTACCTCGGGCGGCACGGTGGCTGAGTGGATAGCCTTTCTGAGTGGAGTTTGCATGTTCTCCCCGTGTCTGCGTAGGTTTCCTCCGGGCAATAGGCATGTCTGGCATGCGCCTCCTGTACCGGCGACCCCGCTCCCATCTCTGTGTGGAGTGAGAGATAAATGCCCATAATTAACAATTGTAAACCGCTTTGAGACTCAGATCTGCAGTGAAAAGGCGGTATATAAATAAAGATTACTACTTACTACTACTACTACCTCCAGCCTAAAGTCAGTCTATGTGGATGTGGATGTATGTAACCACTGTGTAAACCCAGCTTTCTGTCTGTGTCCTGTTTGTTTAAAAGTCTCTGTTTCATAATTATACAAACGGCAGAGAACCAGGATTGACCCCTCTGGCTTCACGTCGCTGCGCTTTTTAGACGTGTCTCTGCACAGATACGAACTCCGCAGCAGCGTTTTTGTCTAGATTCCTCACACAAGTTGCAACCAATAAAACCTGGAAAGGAGGTAACCCGGGTGGGCCCAGTCACAGCGCTAAAGGAAGCGCCCCCGGGCTGTCTCTGGTCAGAAATGTTGAATATGATCAGACTAACTGTGCAGTGGAAAGAGGACAGAGGAGCGACTGTGACTCCAGACTTCTTCCTGTAGTTTGCGTCTTGCTCTGATATGTCCGTTAGCAAACTAGAAATGTGTTTGGAGCTGATGAAGGGAGGTTAGATGGATGTAAGGTCAGTGTTTTTGTATAGCACAGCGCACAGGGCAACTCCAGGCACTGAAGAAGAACAAGAAAAGAAACATTTAGATCAGAACAAGTTACAGTACATTAAATAAGAGTGAAGATACAATCCTTCAGTTGTACGCACCGCTAAACAGAGGCGTTTTTGACCTGGATTTTAATATTGTCAGAGTAGAAGCCTGTCTCACATTTTCAGGAAGACTGTCATTGTCCTGCATCTGCAACAACAAAGACTACTGAGGCTGTAGACCCAGGACTGAGGCTGTAGACCCAGGACTGAGACTGTAGACCCAGGACTGAGGCTGTTGTAGACCCAGGACTGAGGCTGTAGACCCAGGACTGAGGCTGTAGACCCAGGACTGAGGCTGTAGACCCAGGACTGAGGCTGCAGACCCAGGACTGAGGCTGTAGACCCAGGACTGAGGCTGTAGACCCAGGACTCAGACTGTATAACAAGGACTGAGGCTGTAGACCCAGGACTGAGGCTGTAGACCCAGGACTGAGGCTGTAGACCCAGGACTGAGGCTGTAGACCCAGGACTGAGGCTGTAGACCCAGGACTGAGGCTGTAGACCCAGGACTGAGGCTGTAGACCCAGGACTGAGGCTGTAGACCCAGGACTGAGGCTGTAGACCCAGGACTGAGGCTGTAGACCCAGGACTGAGGCTGTAGACCCAGGACTGAGGCTGTAGACCCAGGACTGAGGCTGTTGTAGACCCAGGACTGAGACTGTAGACCCAGGACTGAGGCTGTAGACCCAGGACTGAGGCTGTAGACCCAGGACTGAGGCTGTTGTAGACCCAGGACTGAGACTGTAGACCCAGGACTGAGTCTGTTACTGATTTTAGTCTTCCATCTCTTGTAAATATTCCGGGCCCCGCCTTTGTCTGTTTCACTTTAGAATCACAGATAAACTCTGGGGCCTAAAGGGTCTTATTGAGTCCTATTTATCAGTTCAATAATGTGAAGGTTCTGGGGTGGAGACCTGTAGATCACATTTCAGACCCATTGTTCCGGCGCTTTCTACACAAAGAGATGAAGTGTTGCTGCAGGATGAGCTCAGCAGTTTTACAGAACCGCCTCCAAAACCACTGCCACATGTTTCAGAGCCATAAAACTAAAAGTGTTTCCATGTTTGTGTTTCAGTGAAGACGCCGGCGAGGAGCTCACGGAGGTCTTCAACGATCTCTGGCGCCTCGACGTCAACCGCCTCAGACCGGGGACGGATTACATCATCGACCTCCAAGTACGATACGATACTAAAGAGAGAGAGAGAGGAGAAGTAACCAGTGCAGGGAGTAATGTGAGGCAGTGTTTCTCAACCAGTGGGCTGGGGTACTTTGTTGTGCCGTAAAGGAGCTGTACCTGATTCTGCGAGTTTTTATCAGTTAGAATGTTTAGCCCCGCCCCCAACGCGCTCACAGGCTTCTCATTTCCCCTGCGCTCTCCTCCCACAGAGCCATCTTGTTCTTTTAGCGATCTGATACATATGCTAACATTAGCATTAGCGTAACTTCTTGTAAGCTGTGCAACAATCACTGATGAAATGGTACCAAAGCAACGCACTGCTAACACAATATATAACTGAAATTACTGCTAGTTTCAGGTCCAAATGTAGTCCGAGGCGGTCCTGGTCCCGCTCCGGTTCTCCAGAGGATACGATGTAAGCTAGCTCTGTTCAGGGCTTGGTTTCTTCTTTGATCATGTTGTGGCTTTAGTTCCTCTTCTCTTCCTCACTGTTGTGTGGTTTGGGCTGTTTTGCTCTGTCTGCAGTTACAGCCAGAGGAGTTATAGCCACTTATGCTAACATGCTACTGTGTTTAGCAGCGCTGTAGAGGCTAGAGGAGGCGTGGCCTAGAGAACACACACCTGTTTACATTAGCCCCGCCCCTCGCTCTGTGATTGGAGGAGAGCTAGTGTCTACTCAGCACTTGTTACAGCCTGAATTCATACACAGCTGAATCAATGAGCTCAAGTTTTCCATTAAATCACTGGTTTTAATACATCTTGTGTGTTGTAATACGCATTTTTGTGAACTCATTAGAAAATAAATCGGGTACAGTTCCTTTAGAGGTACACTGTGTAGTTTTTACTCCCATAGAGCGTTGACATCATATATTGTAATTTACAGTACTACGGTGGCTTCGCAGGACAATGTGAGGTCTTTGACAGTGGTCCCCAACTCCCGCTCAAACTCTTTTTTTTGTCCCTTATCAGCCACCGTATTTCAAGATGGCGCATTGACACATAGAGTCCTCAGCCTCATGGACATTTATTAGTCAAATTCTAAGCCTATGACAACAATTCAAAAACATGGTGGAGGTGAATATTCTTAAAAAGGTCACATTTGTCATTGGTTAACATGTTTTATCATTTGTAGCAACTGTAAAAATTACACAGAGAACCTTTAAGATGTGTGTTACCGTGCCTTGGAAACAGTCCAATATCACGGCTTGGTCAAACTCATGTGAAAGAAAAGATTGTGACATAATTAGAAAGATCTTATTGTGCGAGTTTGACGACATAAGACACATTGATGAGAGTTTCAATCTTGTATGAAGTTCAGTTGGTTTTGTGCCACGGCTCAAAATGGTTTGGGACCTCTGATATAAGGTCTGCGTTCGCTTCAATCCACCTTAAAGTACAATTACATCACGGGTCTCGAACTCATCTTGCGGCCGAGGTGGAGTCTGGGTGAAGGGTTATGTTTAGTGTTGTATATTTTATGGATCCTTTTAGGAAAAACCTCTTAAAGCTCTGCATGTTCTGCAGGCTCTGAAAGTTGCAACAATAGAAATAGCTCATGAGACAATTGTAATTGGACATGGAAAAATATAACAAAGTTAAAATTACAGGCCTTCTGTGTTATATGTTTGTGTGTGTTATATGTTTGTGTATGTTATATGTTTGTGTATGTTATATGTTTGTGTATGTTATATGTTTGTGTATGTTATATGTTTGTGTGTGTTATATGTTTGTGTATGTTATATGTTTGTGTATGTTATATGTTTGTGTGTGTTATATGTTTGTGTATGTTATATGTTTGTGTATGTTATATGTTTGTGTGTGTTATATGTTTGTGTGTGTTATATGTTTGTGTGTGTTATATGTTTGTGTATGTTATATGTTTGTGTGTGTT